GCTGTTGCATCCATAAAGGACACATTTTCATTTGTTGAACATACTTGTTCAGCCACTGGGGATTTGTAGTGATTAAGACCAGGCATTGGTGGTGCATGCCCAGCACTGGGGAGGCAGAGGCAGGTGGATCTCTGTGAGTTTGAGGCCAGCCTGGTCTACAGAGCTAGTTCCAGGACAGGCTCCAAAGCTACACAAAGAAACCCTGTCTTGAAAAACCAAAAAAAAAAAAAAAAGCATGATCTGAGCTGACTTCTACCATTCCATCTATGAAACGGTGTCTGTGACCCCTATCTATGAAATCCATATCTGTGAGGAAAACAATGTGGATAAGACAGCAGATACCACTGTGGTTTAAGTGAGACTGGTGACCTATGACCTATTCAGGTCCCACAGCATATTTTTGTTTATTTGGTTTTTTTTGTTTGTTTGTTTTTGTTTTGTTGAGACAGAGCTTCATTGTAGCTTTGGAGCCTGTTCTAGAATTTACTATGTAGACCAGGCTGGTCTCAAACTCACAGAGATCCACCTGTCTCTGCCTCTCCATAAGCCATTTCAGAGGGCAGAAGAATTGACCATTAGTGAAAGCCTGTTGGACACACTGAGGTGGACTAGGCAATGTCAGCTGGGCATCTCTAATCTTACGGACACATTTAGACAGCATTCTTTGTTCATTCTTAAACCTTTGGAAAGGTAGTTAGATTTGGAGTGAGTGTCTACAAAGCATAAATCTAACAAAAGGCTTGTATCTAGACCCTATCTCTCAATACTCATCATCAAAAATGAATAAGCAATTGGAGCTAGAGCTTGAATCCCAGCATCCACTTGGCAACCCACAACTCTCTGTAACTACAGACCCAGGAGATCTAATGCCATCATCTGGCTTCCATAGCTACTACACGTATGTGGTGCACAGACACACATATATACAGACAAAATACCCACACAGAGATATAGAGGGGGAGTTTTTTGCTTGCTTGCTTGCTTGCTTGCTTGTTTGTTTTTTGAGACAGGATTTCTCTATGTAACAACTGTAGTTGTCTTGAAAATCATTTTTTAGATTTAGATTAGTTCAAGGTTGGCCAGAGATCTGCCTGCCTCTGCCTCCCGAATGCTGGGATCAAAGGTGTGTGCCACCATGTGTGGCTAAAGGGGGAAAAGTTTTAAAAGAACAACCCATGTAAAAATAGGCAAAGGATCTGAATAGACTTTTTTGTTTTTGTTTAAAAAAAAAAGACAGAAAGAAAGAAAAAATGCAGGCATACAGTCAATAAACACACAGAAAAATAAAAATGTCCAACCTCACCAATCTTTAGGGAAATGCAAATCAGAACTACAAGATACGCTTTAGCCACTGGTATGGCTGCAGTCAAAATATTGGACAACAACGTGTTAACAAGGATAGGGAGAAACTGGAACTCTCATACATGGCTGATGGGAATGTAAAAGTGATGTCACTGTGGGAAATGGTTTGGTAGTTTCTTAAACGTAACACAATTACCATCTAGCTGAGGAATTCTGCCTCTTTCACAACCAAGAGACCATGAATATGCCCATGAAAGATCGTATGCAAAGGTATTCACAGTAGCGCTCTTTATGCCCGGTGCTGGGGTACCATGGAAAAGAAGAGAGCCATGTATAGTCTGCCATTTGCAGGACATACGTTTACGCGGTGACAAAGTAGACTTTCTCTTTCAATAGCCTTCAGGTTTCTCATGGCTGTTCCATGCTAACATTGATACTGTAAAGGCCAGGATCCAGGTTGGCACACCTCCCCAGTCCTGCCTTGATGGAGAGGGCTCAGGTGAAAGTCTTCCTTCTCTCTAAGAGGCAGATTCTGATTGCTGCCACCTGTGGCCACTTCAATGCAGACTGGCTCCCACCGGCTGGCACTAGAGCCTCACCACATGAAGTCAGATCTCTGGAATATTCTGGGCTAAGGCTCTTACTTGAGGGGCCCTGGAGAAGATAAACACTGTGGCAGTCCAAGATGACTGGCTGGCCAGACATCTTTGTCGGGAGGGACAGGCTGGCAGGCTGTGTACCACAGGGTATTGCCAAGTGCAGAAGTGGATGCTGGACGTCCCCAAGGCTGACTAAAGGCAATGTAAGGTGGTGAAGTGACATGGTCTCTAGGATCTGGACACTTGTCAGCTTTTGTCAGCTTCTAAGGAAATACTAGAAACTAATCTTTAGGGGACACTGATGCCAAACCCCTGCTTATAGAAGTCATACTTGGGGCTGGAGAGATGGCTCAGTGGTTAAGAGCACTGGCTGCTCTTCCAGAGGACCCAAGTTCAATTCTCAACACCTACCTGGCATCTAACAATTATCTATAAGTCCAGTTTCCGGGGATCTGATGTCCTCTTCTGGCCTCCACAGACACCAGGCATGCATGTGGTGCACAGACATACTTGCAGGCAAAGAACGCATTCATAAAAAACAAAATGAAATATTTTTCTAAGAAGTCATACTTGCTCATTATAAAAATTCCAGCAAAACAATGCAGGAAGGAAAGCTGAGTCCACTCTGTAGTGAATCTTCATCTTTTTTATGTAACAGCTGTGTTTAAATTTTATTTAGATGTGATTTACTATGCTTGATATCATGTGATTGACCCATTTAAAGTGTATAGTACAGTGGCATTAGTGTATTCAGAGTTGGGCAACCGTCACCACTATTTAAGAGAGTTTCTCCACATCTGAAAGAAACCTCATGTTGCCTAACAGTGTGAACATACACAGCGGTGCTGAACTCTGCTAAATAGGCTGTCTATAGTTGAGCACAGAACCCCTCATTCCAACCTCCCCCACTCCCTACCACCTCACCACCCCAGCTTACACACACCATCCTAAGCAACCACCCATCTTCTGTCTAGATAGGGAAGGCTCCCACTTTCCACTTCCCCAGAAGGCCTGTCCTACCCTGTGCTTTGTGGGCCCTGGCTGTGTGCCTGGCCCAGTGGTATGCTGGGCACATGGGCAGGAAAGCAAGACCTTCCTGATGTCTGCTGCTTCCCAGCCTATGGTACCAACTGAACCCCTCGCTGACTCTTGCCTGTGTGTGTGGCCCGGCAGAGGGAGGGATGGAAATGAGGAAATAAAGGCTGGGAACACAGGGTAGACTGAGAGCTGAGAGCTCTGGAGGCTGGGCAGAGATGGAGAAATGAGGAATGCAAGATGGAAATGGGAAGGGTCCAGCCTCGGCTACAGCTTCTGTACAGAAACTGCATGTGCAGGCATGTGTGGATGGAACCCTCCCACTGCCAACAGCCTCTCTGATCATCCTACTGGCTGGAACTGCCATTTGGGATCATCACTGTTGTTTTGACATGCCGGTGCTATCAGGAGCAGCTCCCAAGAATTGCTTCATTTCACCATCAAGGGGTGGCATGTTTCTTCATTTCTGCTACAACAAAGGACACAAATTGACGGCTTTCACTAACAGAAACGTACTCTCTAACCATTCTATGGGGCGGAGACCTTAAACAAAGGTGTGAATGAGCTTGACATTTTTCAAAGCCTCAGACCCACGTGTCTTCCTGGTCTCCGGGCTCCGCCTCTGTCTTCCATGGTCATTCCTTCTCTGAGCCTTGGTGTCCTGTGTGTTCATGAGACCAGGACACCAAACATGGCAAAGAGTTCCCCAAAAGGTCTCTTGTCATGTTCTAAGCATCAGGACTTCAATACTTCTTTTTGTGGGGAAGGGGAGGTACAGTTCAGTCCTCAGCAAATGGGTACACTTGTAATGCTGGTTCACAGTTGGAGAAACTGAGGCAGAGAGAGGCTGTGCAACAACTTGATAGAGATTGGATGCCCAGATGCACACCCAAGCCCTCAGGCAGGTAAATAAAGGTCCTAGGGCAAAAGATGGTTCATCTCATGCTAACTCTCATGCTCCTCAGCTCCAGAAGTTTGTGAGGCACTGTGCAGACAGGCTCCTCTGGTTCAGGGTACCCAGACAGGCTCCTCCTCACCCCCCACCTCTGTTCAGGGTGTCCATCCCTTTGGGCCTTTAGGGAGAATGACCCTGAGCCTATGTTGGAACCCACAGGGGACATTCCCAGAGGGCAGCAATACCAATGACAGGATTTTTGTTTTCTTGTTTTTTTTTTAAATCTCTATACATTTTTAATAAAAGACAAAAGATTTATAACATCTAAAGAGAAACCACAGAGTCTTTATACATTTTTATATCTAACAAAACAGGAAGTCACGGTCTGTCGTAGATAAATGTTATTTTTTTTTTTTTTTAAATCACCAGAGCTGTTGAGAAAGAACAGTGCTTGGGGGGGGGAGGAGAAATTGGAATATATATATTTGTGGATCTGTGTCACTCTCTGCCCTGTGGGAAACTGTCCCAGGCTTTGCAAAGTGCATAGCAGGCTTGTATCACCTGAATGATTGTCTTTAGGATCGGAAGGGCTGTTCCCTTGGAAGGTGAGGGAAACTGAGGCACAGAGCGGGAAAGGGATGTCTGCAGAGCCTGGTTATCCGTTCCAGGGCCGAAGCTGGGAAGTCCAATTGGACCATCTCCTCCTGTGTCACACGGATACCAAAACGCAGTCCCCATGTTGCTCAGCACCACAGAGGCCCAGGGAAGCCCAGTGTGGATCCCCGAGTTTAGGGAACAAAAATTGGCAGGGTTTTGTCGTGGGCCTGAGATAATAGGCATTATGAAAGCCAGTGCTACTGAGATTGCCATTAGCAACTGGCTACGGATATCATTCTACTTTTATAATCTAGACTCCTGTTTATCAAAAATGCCATGTTTGGGTTGATATCAGCCACAGCAATTGGTAATCCTTGAACTCTCAACACACACCGTGTGAGTTCTGTTTCTCACTGCAGTTGGGAGCTCACACACACGGGGGTCCTTTGGGAGGCAACAGGACCCACAGAGAACATGGCAGGCAGGTACCACCTTCCAGATCTCAGAGAGCAGCCAGTCCATCCCCCCTTGCTATTAGAGGACTTACAAGGGCCTTTCTTGTCTCTCCCCAGTCTTGTACCTGGAAGGCTCCGTCCTTGTGTTTGAGGACATCTTCAGACTGATTGCTTTCTACTGTGTCAGTAGGTGAGTAACCTAGCCCTAGAGGAGGCTGTGGGGGACGCTTCCCTTCCTGTCTTAACAGAAGCCCGTTTGCTACAAAACACCCACCTAGTTGCAACAGACATCTGTGCAACCTTGGGTGTGTTTGTGGCATGGGAGAGGACAGAGGAAAGGAGGGGGGGATGCACTGAGAGGGGACAGTCCCTTGTCTTTGCTCTGGTAACTACAAGAAGAGAGATCAGCTGTGATGTTTCCTGGACTCTTCTGGTAAGGGCTTTTCTGCTAGCCACCTGCCCACCTGGCTCTTGCTAGTCTTTCAACTTCTCGAGTCACCAGCACCAGGGACAGATTGGGACTCTTCAGACCAAACGGTGCCAGGGAGGTCGGAAGGGATTTCCTATCACGACAGCAAGAGGGGCTGATGTCCTTTAGCGGGTGGTGGCCTGGAATTGTTCAGCTGGGCAGGCCACCAAAAGTTCTGCTCCATTCACTCAGAACTGGTTTCCGAGCAGCAAGAATTTAAAAATACATTTGGTGCCATAACCCATCAGCTAAAGCCGCAGGGGCTGCACAAGGGCTGATCAGATGTTTGCTAAGATGTGTTGGGGTCCTTAACCACAGGCTGCCTCTGCTGAAAGATGTGCTCCACTAATAACACCCCTCCCACCCTCCAGGCCAGCAGAGCAACACTGATAATTACAGTTGATTCTGACCTCTCCTGCTGCCTAGTGAGGGCTCCCCAGCACTCGTGGGGCTCTGAGGGATTTTTATACCCACTGCTTTCTTTGTTTTGTTTTATTTTGTTTCTGACTAGGTTTTCTCTATGTAGCCCTGGTTGTCCTAGAACTTACTCTGTAGACCAGGCTGGCCTTGAACTCATAGAGAACTGCCTGCCTCTGCCACCCGAGTGTTGAGATTAAGGTTGTGCACCACCACTGCCCTGCCCTACCCATTACCTTTTAAGATTTTTTTTTTTTTTTTTTTTTTAGTGTCTTAATGTTTGTCTACATGTGTGTATGTGCACCATATACATGCAGTGCCCAAGAAGGGCAGAAGACAGCATCAGATCCCCTGGGACTCGAGTTAGAGACAGTTGTGAGTCACCATGTGAGTGCTGAGAACTGAACCCAAGTCCTCTTTGAGGGAAGCAAGGAGTACTTGTAACCACTGAGCCATCTCTCCACGTCCCTCCACGTTGTCTTTTAAAACGTTGCCAACCCACAAGGGTTGTTCCCGTTGATTCGATGAGGACGTGGAGACTGGTAAATGGCAGAGTGAAGTTCAGTCTAAAGACAGCTCTACACCAGTGCACCTGGAGTATTTCTATGTGCTGGCTTGGCCCACTAGACAAGAGATAATTGCATAGACCCCAAACTGTGGGAAGATAGGCCCTTTTGAGTTTAAGTTAAAGGAGCTCTGTTCAGTATTTGGCACATGCTGGGTAGAAGGATGGATGGGTGGGTGGATGGATGGATGGATGGATGGATGGATGGATGGATGGATGGATGGATGGAGAGTGCAGATATCTAATACCTCAGAGCCTCAACTTCCTCTTTTATAATCGGGAATGCTCACTTCAATTGCTTTGATGCTGGAGGAAGTGTGAGTTAATGCCCATGAAAGACAGAGTGCACTGCCTGGGACCCCTGACTGTCATTGTCATTCCTTATACAATAGTTTTCTGGGCATCAGCTTAAGTGTCTAGAAAGATCAGGAGCCACGGCCACCAAGCTTACCCTTGTTGCTTCCCAACATCTCCGCCTCTGACTGCTAGCAAAGTAGGTACCTATTCGCCTGTCTTTACACTCCAGGGATCTCAGAGATGGGGGTGACTATGTTGGGGGGGTGGTCAGGCAACAAGGCCTGAATGCTGAGCACCTCAGGAACCAGAGCCTCAGGCCTGGAGTCAGAGGCCTGTCGCCTTGCAGCTGTGTGACTCCAGGTCCATCATCTGACCTCTCCAGGCACACTTGCCTCTTTTCAGGGGACATTAGCAGTTAGGTATGAGAGTCTGCAGCTTTGCGATTGATTCTAAGATCCCACCTGCAGATTCCTTCAGAACCAAACACTGGAGGCAGTTAAAAATGCACTGCAGATGCTTCGTATAGACCGATGCCCCCTGCGGGGTGTGCTGGTAAATATTTGTCCAGTCGACACTTTTGCTAGAACTGTGTCCCCACCGCCACACTAAACCCAAGCCCAGCCCTGAGGAAGGCCACTGGCTTCCTCCTCTCTTTGGGCACTGAAGTCCCTGGGCATTGGTGGCAGCTCGTAGAGACATTCCTAGGATCACACACACTAGCCCTAGAGTTCAATACACAATGAAAAGTTTACCTGAACAGGAATCTCATCCTCCTCACACCTCGTGCCTAATGATTAGGAGCTCCCTCTCAGACCTTTGCGAGGACCACAGATGCCAGCCTTCAGAAACAGCCCCCTCTCTGGAAGCCCCAGTTCTTGTAAAAAAGCGTCTCACTTTTGACAGTGCCAGGAGCTCGGTGATGAGTGTGCAGAACTGGAAAAGTGTCTGCTGCTTGAGTGTCTGTGTGCTCAGTGCTGCCTACACATCTCCAGAGTCCCTATGATGGCTGTGCATCACCAGGCTAGTTAATAGTGCCTGTCCCCAGAACTGCGCTGAAGATTTCTGTTGGGGCCTTAGTAGAGTAGCAGATATGGAGAACCCATTCTGTGTGTTCTTAGTGATGTTAGGGATGAAGAAACTGAAGCTGGTATGTGGCTGACCTCAGGTGGTACAGCCAAGTTCCAAAGCCAAATCTGAGCCCTGGTATTGTACCGGACTTGTAGAGGAAATGGTACATTTATTGCTTCCCTTCAGTCTATCCCCTCTGTATATGGAGCTAGGAGGCCCCTACTTGTGATGAAGAAGGGCAGGGAGAAAATTCCAGGCAGAGGAAATGAGATAGACAAAGGGCCCAGCCACAGATAGAGCCGGACAGTGGTGGCACACACCTTTAATTTCATCACTCAGGAGGCAGAGGCAGGTGGATTTCTGAGTTCGAGGTCAGCCTCATCTACAGAATGAGTTCCAGGACAGCCAGGGCTACACGGAGAAGCCCTGTCTCAAAAAACAACAATAAAAGAAAAGAAGAAAGAAAGGAAGGAAGGAAGGAAGGAAGGAAGGAGAGAAAGAAAGGGAAAGAAGGAAACAAAGGAAGAAAAAGTAAGAAAGAAAATGACCAGTAACCTCAGGAGTAGCTCCATGGAGAGGGCAAGACAAAGCCATGCCTTGAGTTACAGGGGCTTCCTCTTGCAGCTGCTATGAGCCATGCTGTCTGTCTCCCATGGGTAGACAGCCCCAGACAGAGCAATATGGCTACAGCAGGAAGTTGAGTTGAAGGAAGAGAAGATCCAAGAACAGCCAGGGGCTGCTGAAGTCATCTGGAGTCATGAAGAGATGTCACCCAAAAGGGAGGAGGCAGTCACTGAAGAAAAAACGTTGGGCTGCGGAGATGGGAGGCACTGGAGCTTTCTGTTAGTGGCGGGATGCTTAGTCACACTGCTTCTTGAGCATAACCATAGTGCCAGATGCTAGCTAACACCCTTACCATGATCGTGGGGGGGGGGGGAGGGGGCTGATCCTCAACGCAACCCTGGTCAGTTAACTCAAACCAATGCTGTTACCCAAGATGAGGAAGGAAGGAGCTCTGTGGGCCCATCATCCTTCAGACGTGCCCCACACGGTGGCTAAGCCACCACCCTCCTCAGGGAGTGGCTCATTGGTCACTCCCACCTTTGAAGATAACGATCGTCACAGTGCTTATGAAGCACTGTCCCACATCAGTGGCTTAGGAACGCTGGTGGTCCAGGTCCTATGCCTGGCAGTGGAAGTAGGGGATCCCATGAGAGTCACTGAGGCCTGAAGTCTACAGAGTCTGATTTCAGTTCCAGGTAACTAACACTGGGACCAAACTGGGCGATTAGGGAACCAAATGGTCACATAAGGATAGAAAATCGATTTTGTGACTGTGTATGCAAGAAAGAAGGTAAGCTGGGCTATATTCCCCCCCCCCCAAAAAAAGTCCTGTACCGAGGGAGTAAGTCTTGTGTTGCTGAGCTTGTGTATATGTGTGCCTGTGCTTTGTGTTTCTTACATAGTCCCGATCAAAAAAAGTAAAATGTGCTATCTAAAGCAGTGGCCTCCAGAGAGGGGTGTAAGTACGGAGAGGTGTGCAAGCTGACCCTCAAAAGTGAGGGGTGGTTGTTAAAAGCATCCACTCGGAGGGATGCACTTTTGAAAACTGGACTTGATAGTTCATAGGGACGTAGATATGCATGTGTACATACAAAGCATCTGTAAGTTTGATTAAGTCACTGTTTGGTGGCCTTTGCTTTGGGGGAAGATCTGTTGCCAAAGCCTGTGCTCATTAGGATCTGCTTGTGAACTGTTTAGAAATGCAGGTGCTAAAGAGTAACTGGGGTGCTGTTCATTAGTAGGATACTTACCTGGTATCTTGAGGCCTTGAATCAATTCCCTACACCACACATGCTCGCACACATGCATGCATGCATGTTAACATCAGCTCTCCTAGGTCCAAATGCTGTTAATCTTAAACAGAGGAGCCTGCACTTTTGGCCTCTTCCCAGAGGGTGTGATCTAGGAAGTCTAAAGAGTACAGACACTAAAAACATCGTAGGGTCCCTCAGAAGTGTCCAGTGCCCCTTTAGGTTTCAGTTGATAGGTTTGCGGACAGATGCCTACTGACCTAGCACCATCTGAGGGCTTTACTGGGGTTACCCCAAAGCCCAGGGACTTCACAACTTTGGTGTGACTAAGCCTGTTTTTGGCTGCCTGCCTTCCCCACCTTCACACTGTGCTAAGACTTCTTTAGTTACTCAACCACAAACTGGACAATTTGCATGTCATTGTCATTGACAGAGGCCACCACTAAGTCCACTACAGTGGATTGCTCAGTCATGCTCCAGATTGGAAGGACAAAAAGTGCCATAATCTGGAGACCATTTCTGTTGGGGTCTGAATGTGGATATAAGCTTGGGGCAAGAGTAGCAAATGCTGTCATATCTTGAAGTATTATGTCCTGTATGAAGTATTATGGCCTAGCAGACTCACTAGGAATCTACACAAAAGAAATGCTAGCGGAGGGCAGAGTCGCTGGGAACTAAAATTCTACTTAGCAATGTTGTTTGAGCCAATGGCAGTATGCGAATAGTTTTGTCCTTTTTTCTTTCTTTCTTTCTTTTTTTTTTTTTTTTAACTAAAAGGCAGTAATCTATCTAGTAATGAAAAGTCTGACCTTAGATCCAATCTTCATTCAAGTTCATACACTGGCATTTATGAGTTGGTCTCTGAGCCTCCGGTTGCTTAGTGATGAAAGGGATCAGGGAAAACTATCTCCCTCCATGAGAGCATTTAAGAGAGGACCTGTGGGAAGTGCTAGACCAGAACCCAGTGTGGCATAAGCAATGTGCTACAATGAAAGAAGAAACATGGTTAGATACCCATCCAAAGAATAAAATGGAGTACTGGGGGTGCAGGAAAGGGTAAAGTTAGTGCTCTTGCATCAATGCTCTTCAGTGGCAGCTATTACTATTATTGTATGAAGGAAGCGAGCTAAAGAACCATGCACAAAAGCAACAGGCTGTCATTTACTTTTGAAAATAGGAGTGTGTGTGTGTGTGTGTGTATGTGTGTGTGTGTGTGTGTGTGTGTGTGTGTGTGTGTGTGTGTAGAAGGATGCGGGAAGTAAGCCATGTACTAGTCTGAATAGGAAGTCTGAATAGGAAAGACAGGCACATTTTCTTTTAAACACTTGGGTAATGTTGACTTCTTACAGCAAATATGTTTTTGTTTCTAATTAAAACAAAAACAGACCATAGGGCTGGACTGCAGCTCAGTGGTAGATCATGTGCCTACCACAGGCAAGACCCTATGTTCCATCCCCACCCCTTACCTCAGAGTCTAGCATCTTTATTTATTCATCTATCATCTACCTTCTATCTATCACTGTCTACCCATCTGTGTGCAAAGGCCATGGCACAAGTGTGGAGGCCAGAGAACAGTCTGTGGGATTTGATTCTCTTCTCCCACTATGTGGGTCCCAGAGATCGAATTCGTCATCCTTGGCTGCAAGCACCTTCACCTGCTGAGCCATCTTACTAGCCATGCAAAAATCTAGCATTTTAAAACTGAAGACAGCAGTAGTGTCAGCATCCCAGGAGAGTTATGAGGCCTGGGTAGGAAACCAGAGGCAAGACCAATCAGACAGGTGACTTGTGATGCTCTATAAAGGTATTTTCTTAGCTGAGTGATCCTGGGCAATTAACCTCAACCTCTCTGGCTGCCCCCACCCCCAATCACTGCCTGTAAAAGCTGGAATGTGGTTGCTGTGCTGTAATAGTGTAATAGTGATGTTATATGATATTGCTCGGCTAGCTGCCGCATCCTGCGTGTGGACGGAAGGCGTGTCCCTGCAGGGGGGAGGAGTAGGGAACTGGATGGCGAAACCAATGACAACCAGGTCTGCGAGGAGGAGGAGGCCCGTGGTGTGGCCTTAAAGAGTACAGTAATCTAAGCAGACACGGGTAGAGGGGACATTCACCGCAGGGAAGTGAGTACACTGAGGCACAGGCCTCAGTGGGTGGGAGGTTCTGAGAGCTTGCTAGAGAGGTGTCCCTGTGTGTTGGAGTCTGAGGCGAGGTCCACCTCAGCATCGTAAGAAAGACAGTGAAGTGACAATGTTAGATTTCTGACAGCATGAGAATTGAGTGACCTCTGCTGGCCACCGTGATCGGCACTTTTCTGAGGACAGGAACCGTCCAAAACCCTACCGACAAACTAGAGAGTCGGCCAAGTAAGCTGAGGTAACGGGAGATGAATTTTGTCAACCTTTGAAACTGGAGATTTGGGTAAAGGTAGTGAGGAGGGGAGAGGGAGCCTGAGAGGGTATCCAGTATGGGGCCGGGCCTGCCTTGTGTGGAGGGATGGGCAGCTGACATCAGAAGGCCTCGGGTTCACAGGAGAGTCACATGATGATGACTGGAGATGCTGCAGTGCCACCCGGTCTAACAGTGAAGAAGCCAAAGCCACCCGGTCAGCCATGCTTTCTTCCCCCATGAAAGACCTTCCCGGAGGGCGTGGCAGGCACTAACAGAAGCCCCTGGCAGGATCGCCTAGCAGAGAGGTCTCAGGCAGGTGTAGGTGGTCTGGGCCCCTGCCATGAGCACCCTCTATCAGCCCCATCACAACCACAAGTGGATGCTGTCCTTGCTTCAGCTCGGTGTCCCATTGTAAGCAGATCTGTTGGTCACTATGGCATTTACTGTAAGAGCTGAGATCCTGCCCCACCCTGCCAGGGACTGGAAGCCCCCAGACTACAGTTAACAAGGAAAGGAGGGAGACAGTGGTGGGCCTGGGTGGAGGGGGAGAGCTCTCCGGGCCAACAGGGGTCACAAGTGGATGGATGGGGTTTCTTTGCTTGGACTGGGTTGGAAAGGGGGAGCGTGTGGGGGGCGGGCCGTGGTTGTTAATCTTGGTAGCTGTCTGGTTTTGAACTCTGCTGCTCTGTGCCCTCTTGGTCCTGTGGTCAATCTCTGCCTTTGTGGAGGGAAGACAGGCTGAGAGGAGAGAGAGAAGTGGCTGGGAAATGATAGACAGGCCCCGAATGCCAGGATAAAACATAGAATCAGGACCAGGTATTCTAGCTGGAGAGGCAGTCTCTGCATTAGAGCCTGCAGGACCAGGACCCAGCACTATCTACCTGCATCCCACCAGGGCGCCTGAGAAAAACCCTTTCTCCCTCTGGACCTCAGTTTTCCTCTGTCTGAACGGCTGCTGGAGATCTCTGGAAGGAGTCCTGAACAATTTCTCTGCGGCCATCAGATAGTGCTGGCTAAATGCTTGTCTGGATACCCATTCTGTGTTTGCCTGCCTACCTCCATGTGGAGGGCAAGGGTCAGAGGTCACTAAATAAGACTAAAGGAAGTATGGACCTGGCAAGGAAGGGGATGTAAGAGGTTCTGTTTGCTCCCAGGGCTCTTCCCAGAGCTCTGAAAGCTGGGTCTTGCTGGCAGCTCCCTCAACTGCAGCCCTGTCCCTTGGGCCTAGGAATATGTCCAGGTTACATGAAAATCCTGGCAGTTACGGAATGTGAGACATGGTTCTAGACATCTGGATGCTGGAGAATAGGAACTCTGGCCCCTCTGGGACCTGACCTACAGCCTTCCTGTCTTCACAGAGACTTGCTGCCCTTCACGCTGCGGCTGCCTCAGGCCATCCTTGAAGCCAGCAGCTTCCTGGACCTTGAGACCATCTCCAAGCTGGGCCTGGGTAAGTCTTCTCTGCAGAACCAGAGAGTGGGTGGGTACTGAGGGGAGGGAGTACTAGGGTCCCCCCATTGTATTAATCAGGCTTCTCTAGATGAACAGACCTGTCTTAGTCAGTGTCCTGTTGCTGTGAAGAGACATCATGACCGTGGCAACTCTTACAAGGGAAACTAACCTGTAATTGGGGCTGGCTTATAGTTCAGAGGTTTAGTCCATTATCATCATGGCAGGGAATGTGGCCTCATGCAGGCATAACTTGAGCTTCTGAAACTTAAAAGCTCACCGCCACTAGGGCACTTCCTCCAACAAGGCCACACCTTCTCTAGCAAGGCCACGCCTCCTTCATTCCTGTCAAGAAGTGCTACTCCCTAATGACCAAGTATTGAAATCTATGAGCCTATGGGGGCCATTCCTACTCAAAGCACCACAAGAGCCAATAGAATGAATATCCCATAGCTTACACTGAAGTAGTAACAATCTCACACACATGATAATTGCTTGGTTTTGGGGGCCCAATGCCTTGGCAGTCTGTGTGGTCCTATAGTGGCTCTCTCACATTGGACAAGCCAAGAACACACTAGTTGCTCAGTGCAAAAGGCTGCATGCTACAGCCGTCCCAGCTGGCACCAAAGACCTAGAAGATTCCTGGAGAGAGTCACTGGTCCTGTCAACACTGGAAGCCTAGAAACCCTGGTTCTGATAGCCACACGGGAATCGGCAACTGCAACAGGGTAAATCAACTCGGCAGCCAGAGTGAAAGCCAGGCAAGCAAAAGATGAGTAATCTTCTTTCTGGGATGCCCCGCTTCATCGACTACCAGAAGGTGCCGCCCACATCTGAGGTGGATCTTCCCACACCAATTATTCAGGCATCCCTGGGTGAGGCTCCCTCCTCAGGTGATTCTAATTTGTGACAAACAGACATTAAAATTAGCTGTCACACCACTGGTTTCTGCAGAGATTCAGAGCACCAGAAACACTGGACACGATAAATACTAATGTTGCTTGAACAGAGGGAAGTTAGCCCAGACTGAAAAGCCAGGCCACAGAGGAAGTCGGGGGCAGACCTCAGACCAGAGAACACAACTCCCACCCCCAGCTCCCAAGCCGGGCTGCTGTCCTCCTCCCAGAGGGGCCTGGGGATGGCAGAGAGAAAGAAGAACTCATGCCCATTCTACCCAGCCCCTTAACACTGCTGTACTGGTCCACCGAGTAGCTGGAAGTGGGCATTGAACCTCACATACAGTCATTGGCCCTGTTCTGAGGCTCAAGCAGGAGTCCCTGGAGCTGATGTCCAAGGCTCCCTGTAGGTTCCTCCTGCTGTGGCAGCCTAGGAGAACTTGCTGGATGGAAACAAGCCACTTGGCTCAGGAGAACTGACTTCCTGGCTGGAACAGAGTGGCCTCAGGCATGGAATGAGCTGGAGATGGAGGTCACCATGCAGGAAGTCAAGGGTGGTGCAGACTGGCCTGCCAGCAATGACTTCTTAGAGAATGGGGCATTAAAAGCCAAGTGTGACATACTAAGGAACCACTTGGAAGGTTCTGATCCAGTGAGGTATCCCAGGTGCTGAAGAACAGAGCCAAGCTCAGCAGATTGACTTTTCCCCAGAGCCAAGGAAAGGTTGGCTTTCCAGTCCGTCTCCCGAACAGATGGAGACCTGGCCCTGGCAGGTGCGAGCTGCAGCCATGCCAGAGCCTGTGTGTTCCGATGATAATTGCAGGAAGCATCTGCCAAGGGCCCAGGCGCCTCCGGCATTGTGCTGAGCACATCGTGTCCCTCCTTCTACCAGTCATGTCCAACCTTCTGACATTGCAACAAGAAGCTGTCACCTACAGAGCTCACACACAAGGACCATGCAATCAAATTATAAAAAGAAAAAAAAAATCTCACAATGTTTTATGTAACGTTATGACTTTGAGTTATCCTGGGACTCGTGCAGCCTGTTGGGCAAGGATTTGACACACTTGTTACAGCAGAAAGCTGAAACCTACTCAGACTTGCATGGGGAATTCCTGAGGAATGGAGTGAGGGCCATTGAGCTTTGTGAGCAACAGCCTCTGATCTGTATCATAGCCTGTTGTACTCTGCAGCCTGCTCAGAGCCCTGCTCCTGAGTCCTCCAGCCTTCCAGGCTAGGTCTCCAGCCCCATCCCTACCTAGCCACTGTTCCTCAAAAGCACCTCCAGGGAGAATTGAGATAATCGTTACCTAGCTTAGAGGGTTGGGAGTCCTTGGGGATAAGTGTTCTCTTGGTCTAGGCACTACTTCCAGAAGATTCAGAAGCATGATGGGAGACAAATTCACCGAGTTAGATGCAGACATTCTTAACACACACACACACACACACACACACACACACACACACACACACACACACACACACACACACACACACGATAGAGGAAGCCATGGGACTTAAGGTGTCTGAAAAGCTTCCTCAACTGTAAGCAGAAATGAAGCACTGTCTTGTGCTACCACATGGCTTGAAACACAAGGTTTAGTGAAAGAAGCCAGACTCAGAAGCACTTGGGAGACTCCACTGTAGATGTGCTCAGGGGAGGCAAATACACAGAGCAGGCTAGTGATCGACACGTTGTGTTGTTGTGGCATTCAAATCCACCGGGAAAGACCAAAGGCTCAGACTGAATTCAAATTTAGATTGAATGAATTTATTCTTACTGCTCGCAGAAGGACAGCAACCTTAGAGCCAAACAGCATGCCTTGCCAAAGTGGCTAAAGAGAGGGTTTATAAAGGTGGGCATCAAAGGTATACATTACAGTTACCTGTGGGATCCAAAGCCAGGCAAGAAGCCTGTCAGTTGTTTCCCTTTCCACTTGTACAGTAATTTAATAAGAAGACCAGTTCATCCCACAGGATGAGTTTACAGAAGCAGAACGCAAGAGGTTAAATGCCTCACAGTAGAAACACCATTATCCTATATTCTTAACTCACCTGCAGGCCAGCAGGGTCTCACAGGCATTCCAGGGCACAGGTCAACAGCACATAGGGATGCCTGGTACCATACTGAGTTTCTTTAGCCTTCACGAGAATTGTGTGTAAATTATCACGCAGGTTGGAGCACTCTGGGGCAAGTGTCACTAATTGACAAGGATAGAACAGGCAGTGCATCGTGACATAGTGCCATCAGGTTAGGGCTGGCTGTCACATCACCAGTATCATGTCCTCGTTCCTGTGATAAATACTCAAATGAAGCAACTTAGGGAAAGAGAAGTGTGTTTGGGCTCATGATTTGAGGGGATATTGTAGGTAGACTTTTCTGTCCCGCCAGCCAGTTCTCAAATAACTACACAGAGACTTATTATTAATTACAAATACTTAGCCAGTAGCTTAAGCTTGTTACTAACTAACTCTTACATTTTAAATTAACCCATTTCTATTCCTTTACTTGCTGCCATGTGGCTCATGGCCTGTTATCTCATTTTGTGCAAAGTTCTGCTTCCTCTGGGTCTGGCTGGTGACTCCCAAGATTCTGCCCTTCTTCCCAACGTCCTCCTATTCTGGTTCTCTCACCCAATCTCTTCCTGCCCAGCTATATGCCAGTCAACTCTTTATTAACCAATGAGAGCAATACAAAGATTGTTCCACAGCAGGATACAACCCGTGGCAAGAGGTTATGTCAATGGGTGTGTGTCTCACATCTTCACCCGGAAGCAAGAGAGGGCTAGAAATGGGACCAAGCTATACAACTCCAGGCCTACCTGCCAGTGACCCAGCACCTAAAAGTTCCACACCAACCAAACCAGGATCACTGCTGGGGTCAAATGTTGAAGCACCTGAGCTTGCAGGGAATACTAAACATTCAAACCACTGGATGGGGAGTGATTGATAATAGGCATAGAGTTTCGGGGGGGGGGGTTGACAAAAATGCCCTAACCTTTATGATAAAGACAGTTGTGACACTATGACTCTATTAAAGCCACTGGGGAATGTTTTAAATAGGTGAATTAAGTGAATGGCATCCCCGTTGAGACGACAGAGGGACACTAAGGCTTCCTTTAAGAGGATGTGATAGGAGCTGGATTCACACGTGAGGCTCTCTAAGTGAGACCTTAGTCTTCTGTCTGTGCCCATTGCCGTCGGATCCTTCCAGCCCTGTTCACGGCTCCCCGCTCTTCAACTCCTTTCTCCCCTTGCTCTGGCCCTATTGCCAAGGGAGGGAAGGAGGCTGTATTGGATGTTGAGACAGGGAGAGCAGCGAGCCCTCCCTCCCTTTTTATGACATCTTTTCCTTATGAAATCTCAGCATGTTAAGAGTTTCTTTTTAACTGGCAAGACCAGAGAAAGACGAGGCTGAAAATGACGTATAATCCCTCCCCTGCTGCAAAAATACAGTTCTGCATTTTGCCTTTCGATGTCGTTTTGTGTGAACATATGTGTGACTTTTAGTTGTTCTTCTCATACCCAGAGTCAAGAAGTGTCTAGCCAACCATACATGGGTTTACTGGGTTTTCAGTACACCCGATGGTCTCAGAATTACTCTTCGTTTTCGAAACGCTTCCTTCCTCAGTGCCAGTGACTGTACTCTATTATACTTGGTTTGGGTTTGATTTGGTTTTAATGAGTCGACTAAGCTATTTGGACAGGGATGATGTCACCAAAGCAGAGCTCTTCTCTTGCAGGCTTCTGAGCATGAGCTGACATAAGAAAAGCCAGTTTAGACTTGGAAACGTTAGCATTCAACCGTGCAGGCTATATAGGATGTCATCCTGGATGCAAGCACCTCGGGCTAGCAGGGGCCACAAAACTAAACTAACACGGGGATGAATTCAGCACTGAGCTGCTTGGCAACTGATTTTAAATGCAAAGAGGGAAGATGATTCTGGGCCGTGGCTCTCGAACATGCCCAAGGCATATAGATGTTTGGTGTTTTAAAGGCAGGAAGGCTGCACACTGTGTAGCTCTCCCAAGTTTGTATGTATCTTGTTTTGTTCTTCATGGCATGCAATGAGAATATTTCCTGGTTAGTAAAGATTTGTTAAAAGCTTGAGATCGGGGGACTGGGGGGATAGCTCAGCTCATAAGTGTAAGCAGTAAAGTGTTTGCTTGTAAACATGAGGACCTGATTTGAGTTCTAGAGGAGATGAAAACAGGTGGGTTCCTGGCCAGCCAGACTAGCTCATTGGTGAATTCCAGGTCAACGAGAAAAAGTCTCAAAGAGCAGGGCTGTCTCACTCCGAGGTTGTATTACATACATACATACATACATACATGCATACATACATACATACATCAAACATCACCCTGGAGTTTGAGTGAAAGCCCGGATGCTACAAAAATATGTATTCCCCGAGTCCACAGGGCATTCCAACCATTCCTATGGTATGGGAATCCTTACTTTCCCTCAAGCACCACAGTACAGCACCTGGCACATCCCAGGTCCTCCAAGCATTGCAGGGATTGAAGCTGGCAAGATGTACCCCCTGCCCAGGTTCAGACAACCTTCCTTGGCAGCAGCAAAATGGCTGCCTCGGTCAGAGACAGGCCCTTCTTTACCGGAACTTGGACATCTGAGCCAAGACTTGGTGTAATGCCACCAGTTCATGCCAACTGCTGGGACTGTGTGACACAAAGTTCTGCTTCTCCAGCCTTGGCTCTCTGCAAGCTGCAGCGAAGCTTTCCAGCTTCCGTTTTTTGTTTTGTTTTGTTAGCATAAAGCCCTGAGCTGCCCCCATTGTTTCCCTTACACAGCCGCAGATACTGATAGGTGGCCCCCTTAGTGCCCATCATCACCCTCCCTTGGAAGGTGCATTCATTGCCTGGGAGAGTCTGTGCCCTGCGAATTGTCCTCGGGGTAGGCAAGCAACATCTTGAGTTCTGGACCTCAGGGGAGCCCCAGTGCCTGCTCACACTTGTGAGATGCTATCAGGATGGAGATGTGTTGTTGTATTCTGTGCTAGCTGGGGACCAGGTCTGCAGACCTGTGATAAGCTGGCTGACAGTCCTTCCCCAATGCGACCTCCTCTACCTCCTTTTTAACTCCTATCTCACTGACTCATCTCGTCTTCCCATCCCTTAGCTTGTCCCCACCTAGCCTGCAAAGCTAGACTAGCCAGTGTCCGCTACCCTAGAATGTTGCCTCCGCTTTGACTGCTTTACTCACCAGTGCTGGGTGGTGATGCCTGGCCCCTGCTCACTGGAGCATCATCCTGGAGGCTGCAGATGCACTAATGGAAGAGGTGTCATACTGAAGCCCAGAGTGCGCTGGAGCATTCAGACCAAAAGCATGGGATGGCATCAGCTGGTCCCTGCAGTCAGAGTACACAGTAGGACTAAGGGACACAGGCACCCTGCACACATCAGGAAGTGTACTCCAGTCTGAGATTCGTGAAAGCCTGGCAGATAGGAAGGAAAATAATTCTAAGCAGAGGAAATGGCGTCGTGTCCAGGAAGAAGCTAAGAGCAGAGTGAAAACTCAGTAGATAATTGTAGAAAACACCTATAGGGCATATCTCCCATCTCCCAGGCCTTGAGTGATCTAGACAAGCAATGATGGGAGAGCGTTCCTGAGCATCAGCAACCCCATGATTTTGCCCTTCATCCGCATGTCTTAAGGGACTGTGGCAATGAGCGTGAAGGGAGTTGAGCTCAGCTTCCTGGGGCTACTGAATAGTCCACCTCCCTGGCTGTCTGATGCTCCTCACTAGGAAGACTTCGAGGGGACCAGACCGCTCCACCGGGCTTGTAGATTCATGGGTGTAGAGTTTCCAGTGCTTACTCCACAGAAACCAAGCATCTGTGTGTTCTGGCTACCAAGAGTTGGTCACTCAGAAGTTAGGTGCTGTCCTGCAAAGCAAAGCCACAGCCTGGCCATCATGAAGAGTGGCCCTCAGGTTATGGAAAAACCTGACCCGGTCAAGTCTTACCCTGTGACTGTGTGATATGCAGGAGCTTTGCAGCTTGTAGAAAGACACATTAAAGGTCACCTTCCTTGTTATTGTGGTGACAGCTGGGTATTCTGGGCTGGCTGCCAGGTGCGATAGTCTGTCCAGAGCGGGGCTCCGTGGTGAGTGTTGTGCTTCTTTGGTGTTCACGGTTGGGTAGGCCACAGCTTGCTTCCTATCATGAGGTTGGACCCGGCTCACACTGATAGACATGCAACCTCAGGCCACCAAGGTGGCCCAGACCCATGTCTTTGAGCATGCTATCATTAGAACTGGCTCTGCATGACTCTGCCATATTGTGACATCTCTTTTCACAATCAATAACCTGTTGTAGTTCCCCCCCCCCACGCACACACACACAGCCACTCTGGAAGCTGAGGCAGGAAGATTAAATGTTCAAGGTCAGCCTAGGCAACTCGGTGAAACCATACCTCAACGGTAGAGCACTTGCCAGCATGGGAGAGACCCTGGGTTCAGTCCCCAATGCCAGCAAGAAAACAAAACCAGGTGCTTGCTGTGTTCTTACCACATCTCTTAGCTGGGGTAAAAAGCCACCAGCCTCCAGCTGGGGTAAGAGCCACCCACTGACAGCAGAGCAACCGAAATGGGAAGTGATGCAAGTTCCTCAGAAGAGCCTGAGTGCAGCAATGGGCTAGCCTGACCTGTTCGGCCTCCAGTACTCTGTGACCTTGGGCGAATGCATATTTGCTGAGTCACATACCTTCATCTGTAAAGTGGGGACACAGCTTATGGCTAGGGGGTCATCAAGACAGTCCCAGTACAACTGCAGCCCATGGCTTGTCCACAGCACAAACCCTGACTCTCATTCCTTGGTGACAGACCCCTTTGGCATCTTATTGAGGAGCCAAGGGAGAGAAGCGGTGCCCACCGTTCTTCCAAGAATCCTGCAGCAGCATGCCTCAGGCTCTTCCGACACTTAAAATGAACACGTTGACCAGGGCCTGGGTCCCATGGTCCTCTCCATACAGAGCCACTCTCGTGAGCCCGGAGTAGCCTATTCTCCAGAAGCCATAACCCTGTATCTTTTTGGAAGGCCCTGAGCATCCCTGGGTGTTTGCTGGTATATGGTACCCAGAGGCCAAGATCTCTCAAGCCAGCCTTGCCGTGGTGGCTTCGGTCACGATGAGGCTACGGAGACTGGTTGGTAGATAGCGAGCAGGGCAGGGCGTGCTCAAAGGGAGGAGTTGTGTCCCCATTTGTCCCTTAGCCTAGCTCCTCATTGAAGTGTCAAGACACCCCCCCCCAAGTCACAGCAGCCTGTAGTGGACAGCTATAGGTCCAATTCTATCGTCCATAATTCGGTTTCCCCTTTCCTGTGTGTGCCAACTGCACTGGCCATAATGAGTTCTAGCCCCTTCCTCTCTATCTTAGGGTTCCCCCCCCCCAGCACTCTGATGCCGCCATTGGAAGGACAGCTAGACCAAGCCCTTAGACGCAATCTGCCCAGGGTACCCAACTGCATGCCGTGCTCTCACATGGCCAGAGCCATAGTCACCCCCACCCGAGCTCTCACATGGGCACAGAACTGAAGCTGGGCCTCTCATGTCCCCTCCCAGCTCTACCCCACCCTCTGCTGGTGGGCACACAGGGGACTTCCCCTCCAGGCAGGAAGTGGTGGGAGAAGTTTGAGTCCAAGAAGGGAAAACAAAAGCAAGGGCCCTTCCCCCACCGCTGGGAGGCGGAGGAGGGCTGACTGCCTCTGCTCTGCTTTCCTCAGGGTTCTGGGACTCCTCGCTGAACCCTCCGAAAGGTCCTGCCGAGCCCCCCAGAGGCCCAGCCCCTGGGGCCCCTGCAGCCTCCAGCCTCCAGCCCACAAGCCATTATGCAAACTGTTCCTGTGAAATCGAGCTGTCTGTGGGAAACGACCGCCTGTGGTTTGTGAATCCTATTTTCATTGAGGACTGCACCCTACTGGCTGACCCACTGCCTTCGGGAAGCTGCCCTCCACGCCCTGTGCCTGCCACCTTGGATGCTACCTCACCCACCTCCACGGGGTCCCCACGCCGTCCCCCACCTCCCCCTCCAGCTGGCCCTGCCCGGCCTCCTGTGCCCCCTGCTTGCCCTTTGCCCAACTCCCCCCTGACACCCACCTCTCACCTTGCACCCCATGCCCCGGGCCCCCCGGGCCACCCAAGCCAACCACCCATGACAGCCTGTGAGAGTCTCCCACGCCCAGCTGTGGGCCTGGGCCCTTTGGGGGAAGAAGAAATGAAGCCTGGGACGGCTCCCAGCCCCTTGCAGCCAGCTCCTCCTCCACTGCCCTTGAAGAAGACTCTTCCAGCAGCTCCTCCCAGACGGCGCATCTCTGAAAGGGTGTCTCTGGAAAGTCAAACTGTGGGGACTGCAACAGTCAGAGACCACCCAAGTGTTTCCAGGACAGCCTCACTCAGCCTTCCTTCCAAAGGCACCGTGAGCAGCCTTGGGGACAGGCCTTCAAGGACCACAGAGCAAGGCCAGGACACAGAGACCAAAGCTAGCCATGCTAACAACATACCAGTGCCTCCTGGGAAGGCCAAACAACCCCCTATTCCACCACCCAGGAAGAAACGGGTCTCTCGGCAGTTGGCCCCCACCCTTCCCAGCCCCTTGGAGAGCCCCAAGCACCCCATACAAGAGGCGTCCCCCGAGAAGCCAGCACCTGGGGCACCTTGGGAAGGCTTCAGTCCCGCCCCCCAAGCTGGGGTGCAGCACCTCCCTGCCCAGACCAGCACCTGTCCTCACAGCTCTCCAGAGTTCAAGGGTTCCCTGGCCTCCCTCTCAGACAGCCTGGGGGTGCCTGCCTCCGCTGCTGACCAGGACTCCTACTCAACCAGCAGTGCGGAGGAGGAGCTGGAGTTCAGCAGCCCCAACGTGAAGAAGAAGCCCTCGATGATCCTGGACAAGGCCCGCCACCGCCTCAGCTTTGTTAGCTTCTCCAGCGTCTTCCACGCCTTCCTCTCCAGCGACCGCAAGCTGTATAAGAAGGTGGTGGAGCTGGCACAGGACAAGGGCTCCTACTTTGGCAGCCTCGTGCAGGACTACAAGGTGTACAGCCTGGAGATGATGGCCCGCCAGGCATCCAGCACGGAGATGCTGCAGGAGATCCGCACCATGATGACCCAACTCAAAAGCTACCTGCTCCAGAGCACCGAACTCAAAGCCCTGGCGGAGCCCAACCTGCACTCAGAGGAGGAACTCGGTCAGTGCCAGGCCAGGAGGGCGGGAGGGAGTGTGGTGCATCAATAGCCTCAGGTACCTCTGAACACAGAACAAACCTCTGGAACCCCTTGCCAAATGCCCCCACAGATCTCTAACTAACCCAGTAACCTTCACACTTCTCTACAATTAGGATTCATGGCGACAGGTTTCCCTGCAGCACCTACCTATCTGAATAAATATTGAAAAGATTCAGGCCAACCACAGTGCGGTAGCTGGACATGATAGATAGCTTCTACCTATAGTTCCAGCCCTTGAAAAGTAGAGACGGGGATCAAAGCCATCCTCGGCTCATAGTGAGTTGGAGGTCAGCCTGAGCTACTTTGTCCCAAGAAGCAAAACAAAACAAAAACTGTATTAGAGTCTGTGATTACACTACTGCCCCCCCCCCCAGGCACCGCCTCCGTGTGGTCCTGAACCTTTCCTCCTTCTCCCAGTAATTAAGAGCATCAATTCTGGACACAAGGAAAGATGCTTCGAGACACTATAGGCTGATGATTCATAGCAAGAGGTCCTAGGAAAACAGACTGTTAAGTACCGCCTTCCCTGGGGGAGACTGGGCTCCAATGGCTGGCTCCTGAGGACCAACACAGCTTTCAGGCTATATAATATTAGGGCACAGTAGTAAGGTGGTGGGTGGTATATTGAGGTCTAAGGCTAGCATTGCCATCTCAAGAGGCTGTAGCTATGTGTGCATAGGCTCACCTGGGCAGGATGCCTCAGGGTGGTGTATGAGAAGGCCACCCACACAACCCCTGACTTTTTCCACTAACGGTCACCACGTCCCAGAGACCCAGGCATTGCCCCACAGCTTATCTGGAGACATTAGTTATGTAAGTAGCTTGACAGAGCCACGCTTCCAGCTCCTCACCTGTTACACTGGGGGAGAGGGGGGAATGGCAGCAAGCGGATCACAAAGTCCCTCCTCCTGCCCTTCTCATTCTGACAAGTGGCAGGTAAACTGCAAGGAAGTCAGGAAGCCATAAAGGAAGTGTAAAGTAGGTAGGAAGTGAGTTTTGGAGGCCCTGGGAGAGGTAGGCAGAGCATCATGGCCCCCAGGGTTAGCGTTTCTGCAAGGAACCGGGCTGTGGCAGGTTCAAGTCAGGAGTGCCAGGGCCTCACCTGTGCCCAGTGTGGCTCTGATCCTAGAGCTGAGGAGGAACAAAGAGACTCAGGCAAGCAGAGCTGCTGTCATGACAAGGTGCACCGGGGCAGGCTGGTGCGACAGGAGACAGCACAATGAACAGTGGGCACAGATCGAGTCCATGGAAATGAGCAAAGACCTGGCTGGCCTCGTATGGGTTCTGAATAGCTGAGGGCCAGTGTGAGCATTCCTGGGAGGCTACAGCTCTAAGTCCACAGGCCCAGAGAAGCCCAGGGTTTCATTGTCAGAGAGATGGCTGTGAGGATGTGGGCTGAAGACATGTCTGGAACCCAGTAACAAACAGCCATAGGACTAACTTAGATCGTGCCCAGGGAGGATCACAGGCAGTATACAGAGCAGGAGGCCGTGAAAGGCCCCAGAAGAACATGGAGGGACACGGACAGCTCAGAGCAGCCCAGAGAAGGCTGTGGTCAGCCATGCATGGAGAACAGTGAGTGGGAGGGGTCAAGCCGTAGACAGGGTGGTGGGAGGGGCTTCTTCCAGGCAAAGTTGATACTGTGGGGACAGGCAGAGAGGAGGGACACAAGGCAGGAGTCTAAGGATCCGCCCTGGAAGGCAACGAGGAGAGCTAAGAAGAGGGAATGAGACCCAGAGCTATCCCAGTACTGGGTTAGGGCAGGGCCAGTTGTATTAGGTATCTGTTTGTTGCTGTAACAAAATGCCTGACAAAAGCAATCCAAGGAGAGAAGTGTTTCTGTTTCAAGTTTGAGGATCTGGTCCTCTGCGATGGGGAAGTCATGGCGGCAGGAGCATGAGATAGCGGCTTACGCCTCACTCACAGTCGGGAAACGGAGTGATGAACACTGGTTCAGCTCCTTTTCTCCTTCTTACTCGTCATAGGACCCAAGCCCAGCAGGGTGCAGTGGTGCTGTCCACATTTAATAGGGTGTATCTTCCCACCTCAGTTAACCTAATGAGAGCCAAGCTCTCTTAACTCCCTCCCCACAGGTTGATCCAGACTGCAGCTTGACTCGAGGGACAGTGGATAGCGATAGGCAAGCCGTGCGATGTAGCAAGGGGAACGTGAGATGCACAAGTCCGGGAGCAGAGGCAGGCCTGGCGGGCTGGAGGAGCAGGGCAGGCAAGGAAAGTATGTGTGAGTGGTGAGGCAAGTCGCCTGGATTTGAGAAGCACAAGAGGCATCAAGAATAACCCTGCCTTGGGCTGGAGAGATGGCTCAGTGGTTAAGAGCACTGGCTGTTCTCCCAGAGGCCCTGGGTTCAATTCCCAGCACCCACATGGCAGCTCACGGCTGTCTGTACTCTAATTCTCACAGACTTACATGCAGATAAAACACTAGTGCACATAAAATAAAAATAAATTATTAAAAAAAAGGTAGCCGGACAGTGGTGACACACACCTCTAATCCAAGCACTCCAAGCACTCGGGAGACAGAGGCAGGCAGATCTCTTGAGTTTGAGGCCAGCCTGGTTGACAGAGCAAATTCCAGGACAGTCTGGGCTACAGAGAGAAACCCTGTCTCAGGAGGAAAAACAAAAGCAAACAAAAGAATAATTCTACCGGACATTTACTGGGTACCCAGCCCTTAGCACACAGCTACCCAGACTTTACACTGCATTACTGCAGTGTGTCTAGTGACTTCTGAAATGCATGCTTAAGGGCAGGCTCTGCTCCTGGCACTTGGGAAAACTGTGTTGGAGAGACCCGGATATTGGGTTTGGGAGGCCTGTGCCTGTGCAGTCTCTCTCTGTCGTGGGTGTCAGGGCTAATAGGAACCGGAGATAGAAGGGCTGTGCTGCCAGGCAGTAGAGCCGTGCGGGAGGGGCTGCAGCTTTCTTCACCTTTTCATTCCCTCACCGCCACACAGAGGCCATTGTGGAGTCAGCCTTGTACAAGTGTGTCCTGAAGCCCCTGAAGGATGCCATCAACTCCAGCCTTCTAGAGATCCACAACCGGGACGGCTCACTGCAGCAGCTCAAGGAGAACCAGCTGGTGATCCTGGCCACCACCACCACCGACCTGGGTGTGACCACCAGCGTGCCTGAGGTGGCTGTCATGGAGAAGATCCTGCAGAAGCTGACCAGCATGCACAAAGCCTACTCGCCTGGGAAGAAGATCTCCATCTTGCTGAAGACTTGCAAGCTCATCTACGACTCCATGGCCCTTGGCAACCCAGGTAGGCAGGCTGGGTCCCTCCCGCAGAACTAGGACAAGGGGAGAGTAGGAGCCATACCCTGGGCACCCTACAGGGGGACCTGGGCAAGGAAGGAAACGACCCCGCTACCCTCAAGACAGGCAACCGTTGTCATGTGGGAGTGTGAGTTTGCAGGGAGTCCTGAAACATGTTTCTGCAGGGCAGGTGACTCCAACACAGAGCCGCTGCATCTTGATGCTGGAGGGCAGAAGTTCAAGATCACAGTGGGGCAGGGCTGTGCTCTCTCCAGCCACTGGGTAGGATCTGACCCAGCCTCACTCCTAAGTCTGAAACCCAGCAGTGTCCACTCCCGTGTGCTCCTATGAGGACGCAGGCCGCAGAGGGTCAGGGCCACCCTACTCCACTGTGACCTCATCTCAGCCAATCACATGTGCAGTGACCTCACTTCCAAAAGGTCACCTTGCTGGGAAATAACATTGGCTCTTTAGCGTGTGTGAACTTAGAGGGTTCAAGTCCAGCCAGCCGTGACTGTTGATAGTAGCTCACCGGACCAAAGAGAAGCTGGCCTAGACTCACCGAAGTCAGCGGGAGCTGCTGATAGAAGACAACCAGGCCCATCTACACCCAAGTGGGTACCTGGATGTAGGCTATCTGGGTGGGGCTCAAGGGCCATAACATCTTCATCCTCCAATATGTTGTTCTAGGTATCTACCTGTGGCCAGCTGGAGTCCACTGTAGTAAGACTTGGCTTCATGACAGTGTGGTACCCTGCATTGTCTAGTCACAAGATGGACCCATCCTCTCTAGATGAAAGGCACTTCAGTGTCACATTGCAGGGGGTACAGGGAGGAAGGGAAGAAGGGAGGGGACAGAATTACCACACCCATTTTACCACACACAGCGTTCCTCTGGGTACACAGGAAATGGAACTTGTGCTCCACAGGGAATAAAATGCTGGCTGGAATTTGTCCTCCACCCAGACCATGGCTGATGACCACCTGTGTAGTTAGTTATACATGGGAGCCACGACAGGTGATACAGGGGAGTGTCACACCACCCAGACCTGGGTTCTGATTCCCAGTCTGCCCCCTTACCACTTGTGGGGCCTGGAATGCGTCACTTATCTCTGAGCCCAGCTTCCTCATGGGAAGAGAAGCCAGCTTCTAGTGAGTCAGAGCCATACTTACTGATACTAGAAACAGGCTGTGACACTTGACCCTGGTGCCCAGGTGTAATACCTGGGGCTGGCCGAGAGGTCCCTCTTCATCTGTGTGTTCCTTAGCGATGAGCAGCCTAGAAAAGTGGCCATTGGCATGGCACTGGGCCGTGGGACAAGGTCCTTTCGCCCTAGCCAGTTTCCCTCATAAGCCTGGCAGAAGCTGTAGCTCCAGGTTAGAATCCCTTTTTTGTGTAGGACCAATGTGTGCCCTGCAACTGTGAGAGAACGAATTGAGTTCCCGAAGGGCAAATGCCACCCGGGGATAAAGCTGCACCATGACTCTTGTCAAGGAGAAGTGTGGTGGGAAGCTGGTCCTAGGATGAGTTTGTCTTCTGGAGCCTGGGGGGGGGGTCTTGTGCAGTCTACAGACCAAGAAACAGGACTAGGCTGTGAGCACAGCTGAATCCTGCTAAAGACGGCAGCAAAAGTGGGCAGCCTCCAGGATCCAGAGCCTTACTCTTGTAAGTAAGAGTCACAGTCAGCCCCGGAGGCCCAGAGCCCAGGGAAGGCACCCAGCCAGCCCCACAGCAGCGATGGAAAGCTGAAGGGCAGGGCCCCCTTGTGGTTGATGGAAACAAGTACACATTCTCTTCTGCAACAACGGGGGGGGGGGGGTCAGGCAGGCCTGGGGCATCCTTGCATGAGTGTGTGGGAGAAGCAGTGTGCTTTGGTCAAGTCAGAAAGAGAAGGACATGGAAAGGGACCCACCCAAATGTGTCTGGGCCCTGATTGATGCCTCTAGTTGCATGACTGTCCAGGTAACAGACACCAGCCTTAGTTTCCTCCTGTGTAAACAGGAGCTCTCTGGGACTCAGGGGGACTGTGACTAGTGCATCCCCGCATGCTCACGCTAGCTAACTGCATTGTCTGACCTGTGGCTATTTCTCATGGACAGATCATTCCCCCCCACCCCCAAGCCTTGCAGCACTCCAGGTGAAGTCAAAGCTCCCAAGGAGTCTGCTGACTGAGGTAGAAAGGGGGCCATTTCATTCTGAGCCCTGGTTTCCTGACGGCTGTGGCTTCCTGAGATTCTTTTACAAAGTCAGACACAGAGAGGGACATTCAGACTCCATGAGCATTGCTTAACTATGAATTCAGCTACTGAAAGCTTGCCTTGAGAGCAGGAACTGGAGGAGACTGGCCCACTTTGAAGCGAACAGAACGAAGAAGGTAATATCTCCTCCATAGAAGGGGGCCAGCCAGACACAGTAGGGGGAAGGCAAAACAGAGCCGGTGAGACCTGAGATAACAGGCAGCCCAGGCCAGAGGTTCTGAGCCCTGAGGTTCAGGCCAAGGTCTAAGCCTTGGGCTAGAAACCAGTAGGCATCTCATCGGGCTGGTGAGTTTCCTTCCACCAAGGCTAAACCCTGCAATGGGAGCCCAGCAGCTGTAACTCCATCTTGGGCTGCCCTACTCAGAGCCTCAGCATCTTCGCTTGGGAGGAAGCAGGTCACCCACCCACACAGTGCTGTGTTTGAGTTCCCACTTCTGTGCCCTAATTTTGAATGGTAAATCTACGAGACCTCTGTGTGAGCACCACGTGGGTGCTGTCCCTGGGTTAAAGATGGCTCCAGAAGCTGTGGGGTTACCTACTGTTCCTCAGCCTCAGGGTCCCCATTCTCAGGCTGTGTGAGGTCCCAAGTGTGCGTGTTCTGATGGTGGAGTGCAGAGGTCACTATCTACCTACCATGCTCCTGGGAACGGGGAGGTTGACTATTACAGGCACGAATCAGAGTTCAGAGAACACCCACTGAGATTTCCAGGTTCTTTTCTGCTGGAACAAAGAATTGAACCGGGATAGATGGGTAGAATTAGATAGGAAAGGTGATTAGGAAAAGGGTATGTTAAGAATCTGAGAACGGGAATAGGCCAGAGAGCTAAGAAAGGTCAGGGGCTCCGGGCCCCGGGCTCTGAGCATCCCAGTGCTCTACAGGACGCTTACATAGCAGCACCTTCTCGAACACTTGAAGATCCCTGGGCTTTTCTCCTTTATGGTCCCATTTATTACTTATACCCAAGTGAGAGGGAGGTTTCCTCTGCCACTGGTTTCTTGACATCTCAGTCTTGATGCCTCTGAACTCTCCTTCCCTAGTCTCCAACCTGAGAACCACATTGTAGATCCCAGTGTTCTACAAAGCACCCGGTGGTTCTCCAGGTGGGATACAGACTTCTGCATCTCGGGCCGGCCTCACCTCCAACAGCCCCACCAGAACAGGGAGGGTATGCACGTGTGCGCGCTCGCCTGCACACTTGTAGAGGTGTCTTCTTTCTTCCATTGCTGCCTGCCTTTTCATTGTTTGAGACAGTATCTCACTGAACCTGTAGCTCATCAATTGGGTTCGGCTAGCTGGCCCATCAGTGTGCTTTAGGGATCCTTTCCTGAGTGATAATGGTTGTCACACTTGCCTAGACCTGGCCAGAATGCAAGCCCAGAGCCACACTGTGCCAATCTTATGTTGTAATCACTGTACCAGCCAACCATCTTGAGCAAGTGCCAGCTTTGGGGATAGTAATTGAGCACAAGTTTGAGGGTCCTATGTCAGGCAGGCTGGGAAGTTAAAGACAAATGGCTTTGGATAAACTTGGCATCCATCATATCTGGGAGCTATGGGTTCCTTCAGGCTTTACAGAACTTGGCAAGGGCAGTTAGGCTTTCAGATTCACTGGCACCTCTGGAACATCAGAGCTAGGCAGGGGAATGATTCCTGGAGTGGGAAGAATGACCAAAGTACCCTCAGGGAGGATGGGAAGGCAAGAGGGAACCCAGGTGAAGGTTCTAATCAATACACATGCAGAAGACAGGGGCTAGAGAGCTGGCTCGGTGGCTAAAAGCACTGACTTCTCTCCCAGAGGGTCCAGGTTCAATTCCCAGCACCCATACTGCAGCTCACAACTGTCTCTAACTCCAGTTCCAGGGAATCTGACACCTTTCGCACACATATTCTTGCAGGCAAAATACCAGTGCACATGGAATATATTTATAAATAAATAAATAAATGTAGAAGGCACAGAAGGGGCTTGGAAGGCACAAAGACCACCCTCCATGTCTTCAGTAGTGTACGCTTTAGAAACTGCAACTGGCTTTGACCAAGGGCTGGATTCATGGGACCAGGGGGTGGGATGTAGAGCCAACCGCTTGATAATGGAAACCAACTTCCCTCCTCATCTACCTCCTGACAAAGGCCACATGACCCAAGAATCCACTGATGGCTCAAGCAGGGACAATGGCTGGAGAATTAGATGGGAGGAGGACTCTTAATGGGGATCTAGGGGCCTATGACATTGCCTGAATGTAGAGGGGACACTGAATTCTGATGACTAAAGTCACCTTTGTTTATTGTTGAGATCGGACAGCTGGCATGGGTGGATCTCAGGCACAGGGGTGGGTGTCGGGGCAGTCGGGTACTGTAATGTTCTCAATTCAAAAGCTGTAGATCTCTGCCAGGCGTTGGTAGCTCACACCTTTAATCCCAGCACTCGGAAGGCAGAAGCAGGTGGATCTCTGTGAGTTTGAGGCCAGCCTGATCTACAGAGCAAATTCCAAGACAGGCCCCAAAGCAATAGAGAGAAATCCTGTCTCGAAAAGCTGGGGGAAAAAAAAAACCCAAAGTACAAAAGTGGTAGATCTCATCTCAGGGATTTTAGAATTTTAGAGGCAGTGATAGATCTTAGACGGGAGTGGATCTCAGCAGCAGATCTCAGGGGCATTAGTGGATCTTAGGAGTAATGATGGATTTCAGGCACCATGGTGGATCTCAGCTAATGGTAGTGTCAGGGATAGCAGTAGATCTCAGGGGTAGTGATGGGTCTCAGGCACAGTGGTGGATCTCAGACTAAGGTAGATCTTGCACTCAGGATTGGATCTCAGACTTGTGCAAATAGAAAGGGAAATTTTCCCTGAAGATGCCCGTGCAGCAGTAGCAGGCCTATGAATTAAGTGTATAAGAACTTGATGGCCCAGCAAGCAGCCAGGGGTAGCCATAGGGGAAGAACGAGCAAAGGACAAGGAACCAGAGCTTAGTCACCCCAGCCCAGAGCTTTCTCAGTTCCTTCTTGCCACCCTTTACTGAGCCACCAGTCACCGGGGGCTGGCCCTGGTTGCTAGAGTTCTCACTGTTGAATCATGAGAATATGGAAACCTGGCTCTTCCAGGGTCATGGGCACCTGGAACTCACGGCTTTCATCCTCTTCTTGCAGGGAAGCCCTACGGGGCCGACGACTTCCTGCCTGTGCTCATGTACGTACTGGCTCGCAGCAACCTCACCGAGATGCTTCTCAACGTGGAGTACATGATGGAGCTCATGGACCCCGCCCTGCAGTTGGGAGAGGGTAAGTCGGCACCACCCCCTACCCACCACCATCTCAGGCCCATCACCCACTCCCAAGCCAGGCGGCCCAGCAAGGACTGCTTAGGTAGGACATGGACAAATGCCCTGCCCAAACAGCTCATTGATCAGGAAGGCAGTTAGACTGCAAAGAGAAGTGTTGCCATAGCTTGGCAAAAAGAGGATGGCAGGAAATTGAGAGCCTAGGAGCATGCTGCCCAGACAATGCAATCATGAAGGAGGGCTTCTTGAGGAGGTGATGCCTGGGCTGAGCACTGAAGGGTGACTGGGAGCCAGCAGATAAAGGTTAACGCCTGTCACAGTGGCACACGCCTTTAATTGCAGCATCCAGACAGTGGCTCTCTGTGGGTTCTAGGCCAGCCAGGGATGCATAGTGAGACCCTGATTCAGAACTAAATAAATTAATTTTTAAACATTGAAAAGGGGGAATGGCATTCTTTCTGGAGGGCACAGCAGAAGTCAGTACTATAACAAGTTAGGGGGAGGTGGCAGAAGGTGTCTACGTGGAGTGTGACTAATAGAAATCAAGTCTCAGTTGGAGTGGTCCCCTAGGACTCGGCCCCTGTTTATCCAGCCCTGACCAGGACTTCTGTCTGTAGGAGGAAGTTGCTGAGATGTTAAGGGCTTCGTACTCCTTGGCTGAACGAAGGAGGGCTATGATTGGCCGCAACCTACCTCAGTTTCCCTTCCCCTGTCCTACCCACCACTTCCTCAGGCTAGGACCTCAGCCACCCTCCACTAAGAATCCCTTGAGATACAGCAGCCCTGATAATGGGCACTGAGGGACCATGACACATCCTCTGGGTTTCCACCTTGAAGAATGGAACTAGCCTCCCAGGCACAACTGTCCCCTTTGGGCTTTGTGGTTCCTGAGAGGCTGGCCACCTTTGCATGTGTTTGCATCTGCCCATCTCTGGAGACAGAAGGCCTGACGTAAGTGCTTCATTGAGGTTTTCACAACTCAGGGAACAGGGAAGGCTGAGAACTTTGCTGTCACATGTAGATTCAGGCTGCGACTGTGACACCTGGAGTTTGTGCTTTTCCCTCTTTAGTTAAATGTTACCTGCAATTGGAAAAACTTCTTTCCTAAAAGTCCAGCAATTCAGGAGAAGTAAACATTCTTTAGTCCACCAACACATCCATCCACCCACCACCATCCATCTGCCCATCCACACCCCTGTCCATCCATCCATCTACTCATCCTTGCCTTCGTTAGTCCATCTACCTACCTAGCTAGCTATCTACCAATGCATTTACCTATCTATCCTTGTCTTCATCCTACATCCATTCACCAACACATCCATCTGCCCACCCACCCATCTATCTATTTACCAGCCCATCTACCCATAAACTTGCATACCCATTCATCAGTCTATCCATAAGTACTTTTCATTGCTCTACCCAAACCCCACATATCCATCTACCAACCCAAGCACTCATTGAACCATCCATGCCAGGCTGGGAATCTCATGAGAATGAGCAAGCAGCACCTCACTCTGCACCCGTACTCATGACCCCGAGCTCCCCAAGGCTTCCTCTTGGGTTTCCATGCCCATGGAAGCATCAAAAACTGGGGAAGTTGGCAAGGATCTCTAGCCAGCACTCACTCTGCTAAAAGAGTGGCACCTACCCTGAGACTATGTCCATGAAAGTTCTGGGGGCCAGGGGAAGGCACACTGTGCAGGTGTCTGCACTGGCTCACCCCCTGCCAGTAGAGGCACTGTGTATCCTGTCTGTTCTCCTGACCCCTCCAGCCTGTAGTGAGGTATGGTTTAGCACAACTCTGATAGCTGCTTCCCCATGGTCTTTGCAGCAGACATCTATGGCAAAAAGGATCAGGGCCTTCCATGAGCAGCTGGGAGGGTTTCTCACCACTGGGGTTTTCCAATCAATCCCACCCACATACTGTCTGGAAAGGTCTGCAAAGCTCACAGTGGTGTCGCCTGCCACCTAGTGCTTACAGCAGGTACTACATAGTCTCCACCAAAAATAGCTAGAAGGGCCATGTGTAGGGCTTGAAGGGATAAGAGAGCCCCAAAAGGGCTTGGAACTCTTTCGCTCTGCCTCTGAGAGGACTAGAAGCCCCAGAACTGTTATCCAAGTTCATATAACTGTCTTACCCAAGCATGACCAAACCGGGCCCCTTACACAGATGATGATATCGAGAAGCCAGGGGTATGACTCAGGGCTGTCTGCTCAGTTGAGCTTAGGGAGTCTGGGAAGTGAGCATTTTCAGGCCAGAGCCACGTCCTCAGATAACAGCGGAGTTAGGGTGGGAAGATAGATTGGGGTGGGTGGATGGCAGAATCAGCCTTGTGTCTAAAATCATTGTCCTGACCTTTATAGCCAGGAAGAGCAGTCTGGGGAGTGTCAGGCAAGCTAGGGACTGGAAGAGAGCAGGATGCTAGCGGGAGAGGGGTGGTACACTGTAGTACCTGGCCAACAGCATTACATCAAATACAGAGTCTCTGTGTGTTAATTGGGGCTGGCACGGTGGCGGGACAAGACCAGCGGCAGGCAGGAAAACCTACTCCTTACACCACGTCTCCTTTCTGGGATTCAATTGCTTCCCTTTAAAGTGAAGGACCTCAGCAGGGTTCTCAACTCCTAACAAACTAACAAGCAGATAAATATCCCTACAGAAGATTGTCCTTTACTCAAAATTCTAGCCAGGTGTTGGTGGCACACGCCTTTAATCCCAGCACTCAGGAGGCAGAGGCAGGCGGATCTACAGAGCAAGTTCCAGGACAGCAAAGGCTACACAGAGAAAGCAAGTGGTTCGTGCATCTTGAATTAGATATTTAAGATTATTTTTAAAGAAAAAATTTAAATGGGCCAATATTTTGATGGGTGACTCAGTGGGTAAAGGCGGTTGCTGCCAAGCCTGAGGACCCCAGTTCAATTCCCACAGCTCATGTAGTAGAAGCAGAGAACTGATTTCTGCAAGCTGCCCTCTGATCTCCACATGAGTGTGCCCACAAATATATGTACACATCTGTACACAAAATAAAGTTTTAAATGTAATAATTTTTTTAATAGGCAGGATCTCACTTTGTAGCTCTGGTTGGCCCTGAACTTGCTATGTAGACCAAGTTGGCATCCAACTCAGAGATCTACCTGCTTCTGTCCACAAGTACTGGAATTATGGCTGCCTAGCATCAAAATTTTTTACTATTTTAAATCCTTAAAAACTTCATACAATAACTAAAATTTTCTGTACGTCTGAAAGTTATTTTTACGATAGTACATTCATGGTGCCACTACAATAAATAATACATACGCATTTTAAAGAATGTGTGTGATACAGCGAGAGAGTTGTCTCCCAGCACTGACTTTCCCCACCTGACACATCCATGTCTCTCGTTTTCTTGTGTATCCTACATTTTCAAACACTTACAATCTCATTTTAAATTTAAAAACTTATTTTAAAATATCATTTTAGAAATACTGAGTTTGGACCACAGACTTGGGAATTGCTGGGTCTCTGTCTTTTTCCCCCTTTGTGGCCACGATGAAAAAATCCTCAGCCAGGTGTGGTGAATTATACCTTTAATCCCAGCACTCAGAAGGTAAAGGCTGGAAGGTCTCTATGAGTTCAAGGCTAGCCTGGTCTCCATCATGAACTTCAGGCCAGAGATAACTAGTAATATATGTTATATAAAATATGTGTTATATAATATTATATATCATTGTTTTGTTTTTATGTTATATATGTGTGTTGTGTATAATAATTATGTTTGACTATATATAATAATAATACATAAATGTTATGAACCCAATTGATCCCTTCTTGAAGGAGGTTAAGGAAAGATGTGAGCTAGTCTGTACTGTAAAGTATCAACTGCTGAGGCTGCCCCAGTGCCCTACAGTTACAAGAAGCCTCTGAAGCAGGTTGTAGAGTGTGGACGCCCCCTGGTGGCTGTGGAGAGAGAGGCATGTTGGAAGCCATGAGCTGCACCACACACTTTAGGCCCAGGTCTCTCCACTGTGGGTAGATCCAGACCTTCCTAGTTCAGCTTGTGTCCTTGACCCCACAGGTTCCTACTACCTGACCACCACCTATGGAGCCCTAGAACACATCAAGAGCTATGACAAGATCACAGTGACGAGGCAGCTGAGCATGGAGGTGCAAGACTCCATCCATCGCTGGGAACGCAGGCGCACGCTCAACAAGGCCAGGGCCTCCCGCTCCTCTGTGCAGGTAATGCTGGGGACCACAGTGACTGGGGTCGCAGCCTACACAGAATCCACCCGTGCTCTGTGCTTGGCTGCTTTGGCCTACCAGCTGCGTGTACTCTTAGGGTGTGAGCAGTGAGGCTCCCCTCTGATGGCTCCAAGCCTCTGATGGTCAAATCTGCCCAACTCTGCAGATCCTGGCGGGGCATAGAAGTGCCACCAGGCAGATGTTGTAACCCAGGGGACAAAGTGGCATTGGGGGAACAAGTCATTCCATACACCCCAGGCTGCATCAAATCGAGTCACCCTCACGTCCCCAACAGCCCAGATCAGCTCCCTGCTACCCAGCATCCATCCAGGCTGGCGTATCTCCTTTTCTTCGCTGGCTGTCACTGGCTTCCACAAAACAGTATCTCTAACAGCCCCTCTGAGAAGTTCCCCTGACAGCACACACACACACACACACACACACACACACACACACACACACACACACAGTACCACGGGCATCATCTCACATGCCCATCTCCACCCATCCTAAATGTAACCCTTTCTCTGCTCCCCATCCCCAGCTTCCCCTGAGCCTCATCGTGCCCTGCCTCTAAACCGTAGAGGCAAACCTTGTTCTAAGGGTTTCCCTTGCCTGGAGGGTGGGGTGCTAGTCTGCACCCCCAACTTTTTACTGCCTTCCAACGTTGCACCTGAGGAGCAGGCCGGGCCCAGTGGGCAAGTACAAAATAAATGATTGGACCATGAAAGGCAAGGAAGGGTTGATGGAGAAGCCTGCAGCCTTAGTAGGTGGGAGGAGGCAACTCCCTCACTGCCATGACTCCAAAACGACTGAAGCAGCCAGGTGGCTTAGCTGGCAACGGTGCTCACCGGGCAGATTTAACTGTGTAAGCTCGATCCCTGGGATTCGTGGAAAAAGTGGAAGGAAGGAACCAGTTCCGCAGAGTTGCCCTGGGCCCTCCACACGGGCATTTAGGACACACACATACATCATGCTTATACACAACAACTAAATTCCTATTTGATTGTTTTTAAACGATGCGTTTATTATGTACAGTGTTCTGCCTCAAGGGCAGAAGACATCAAATTGTGGATGGTTGTGAGCCACCACGTGGTTGCTGGGAATTGAACTCAGGACCTCCGGAAGAGCAGCTCGTGCTCTTAACCGCTGAGCCATTTCTCCAGCTCCTAAATTAGTATTTGAAACATGACTGAATCACCCAGGGGAGGTGAGACCCAGAGAAGGAAGTTACCCACGAGGCTCAATGGCAGAGTAAGAAGGGGTCACAGATGCCCCAACTCTCAGCTGCACAACTGTTTGAGGCAAAGACAGGTCCAGCGTCGTGCTCCTTTCTGCCGGCCCTAGCTCCCGTTGTTGGGATGAGGGCGACCCAGGATGCAACTGGCCAAGCCAGGTGACCTCAAGCCTCCTCCATCTCGCCTGCAGGACTTCATCTGTGTGTCATACCTGGAGCCCGAGCAACAGTCCCGGACACTGGCCTCACGGGCAGACACAGAAGCCCAGGCGCTGTGTGCACAGTGCGCCGAGAAGTTTGAGGTGACACAGCCCCAGGGTTACCGGCTCTTCGTGCTGGTGGATGGACGCTGCTTTCAGCTGGCTGACGAGGCACTGCCACACCGCATCAAGGGCTATCTGCTCCGGAGCGAGCCCAAGCGAGACTTCCACTTTGTGTACCGACCCCTGGACAGTGGCAAGGATGGTTGGAGCCAGCCCTATGTAGTGGTGCGGGAGCCCAACTTCCTATGAGATGACCCACTGCTGACCTGTGGTGGCAGGGTCTCCTGAGACGAGGAGGAAAGAGGGGCAGGGACTGGGCTCTCGGTGGCCACTCCCAAACACAAGTCAGCCATGGCCATTTATTCTTCTGCGTGTCTGGCCACACATACCCCAGCACAAGTGTCTGTGTCAGTCACACTGGTGTGCCACTCACTGAGCATGCCTAAACCAAAGGTGCAGAGTCAGAGCCTGAGGCACTATGTTATTCATTGGACAGTAAGGAAAAATATGAAAAAAAAATAGTAAGAGGCTTAGAAGAACTCTCTAACTTGCAGCAAACAAACCCGACCCTGCTCACACCCAGCCCCTCAGGCCATTCCCTCTGCCTTCCACAGGTCATGCCCCACACCCACCTTTAGTCCTAGAGAAGAGCTCACTTTCTCCAGGACTGGCTAACGAAGGGGTTCCTGGCCCCGGCTGCTTGCTCCCTGAGCCTCAGGATGGAGCTGAGATGCTCCACACCAACCCAAGATCTCAGGAGCTTACCCACGTGTGTGTTGGAGAGCCCTATACCCCACCCCTGCCTCAGAGCTTGCCTTCAGCTACCAGACTGTCCAGTCTACTAGAGCTCCTGAGCCCCACTGGACACAGCCAAGCCAGCTCCAGGGAAACATGGACAAATTCAGCCAATGCCATGAGACTGGGGGTTGGGGCATAGTCACTGAAGGACCTGTCCCCTGATGGAAACACCACAGGTCACGGGTGTTGACAGATATACTGTGGCGGAGGGGGGCGGTTAATAAAAGCCCTTTGCAAATGCTAAGTCCTCTGAAGGGATCACAGTTCTGCTCACCAGTCCAGGGACCTGGTGCATCTCCACCATCCTGAGTTCCCATCTCCCCAGGCTCTAGATTTCTAGAACTATCCCTTCTACCCTTTGCTATTACTCTTGGGAGTTCCAGTCCTTTTGCGCTGGGCTCTTACATGCATCCTTCAAAGGCCATCTCCAGGAAGCCTTCCTTGATTCCTAGTGTCAGTCATGCACTGATAAACAAGAAAATATGTATAAGATAGCTCACTGGTCAGAACTATCAGATTTAATTAATGCCTTTCTCCTCCTCCTTTTGAGACATGGTCCCCTGACTAAGTCCTCAATCTCATTATGTAGCCAAGGATAACCTTGAGTACCTGGAGTCTTCTAGGACACCATCATAGCCGGTTTATACATGCTAGAACCCAGGATTGCCTAAGTGACTGCATCCTCAGCCCTTTGCTTTCTATCTATGTATATATTCTTAATGATCTATTTTTACTCTAATGTGCATTGGTGTTTTGTCTGCATGTGCATCTGTGTGAGGGGGCCAGGTCCCCTGGAATTAGGCAGTTGTGAGCTGCCGTGTGGGTGCTGGGAACTGAACCCGGGTCTTCTGGAAGAGCAGCCAGTGCTCTTATCTGCTGAGCCATCTCTCCAGCCCTCTTAATACCCACCCACCTAGGTATACAGCCTTTTGTACAGCTTCTTTTGGAGACATGCCCTTGCTATGCTACCCCAGCTTGCTTTGAACTCAGACTCAGCTTCTCCAGTGGCCAGGACCACCGCTACACACCACCCATGCCTGCCTTTTACTTTATTGAGACTTAATTCACATACCAACTTAATCTAACCACCTGAGCAGTTGAAAATCTGCATAGAACTCCATGACATTTTACTTTTAATATGTGCATGTGTGTATCAGGGTAAATTATGTATAGGCATGTGCAATCCCTAAGGAGGTTAGAAGGGGGTGTCAGAAGTACCTGGAGGCAGAGCTACATGGGGTTGTGAGCTATCATACATGTAGGGAACCCAATTCAGGTCCTCTGCAAATGCAATTTGAGCTCTTAACTACTGAGCCATCACTCCAGCCCCACAGAATAAAACATCTGACACCCTCCAAATATAACTAGTGACGCCCACTGTTGGGCTTACCACTAACATGATAGTCCACAGCATAGGTTTAGGGTTTTGTTGTTGTTAATGTTATTTTATGTACACGACTGTCTTGCCGAGATATCTGTTTGTACACCACATGTGTGCCTGATGCCTGTGGAGGCCAGGCGAGCGCTGGGCCCCCTGGAACTAGTTATACACAATTGTGAGCCACCGTGTGGGTGCTGGGATATTGAACTTGGGTCCTCCTGCAACAGCCAGTGCCCTTAACCACTGAGCCATTTCTCCAGCCCAGAACCTAGGGTGTTATGTTTTGCGTCTTATATCTGGTGAAAGGAGAGAGATGTGCACGAGGTCACTCTTCACTGGGACACGAAGTCAGCTGAAGAGACAGGTAAGTTCCATGTCCTTGTCCTGTGGGTCTTGTCCTAAGGCCCGGAGTTTTGAGCTGATAGCAAGAGATGCCTGTTATTGCAGCTAGGATGTAACACTATCTTACTTTGTTTCTAAGTCTCTTTATTGTTAGTGGTGCCAGGTGTGTGTATAAACTTTACCAGAGTGATAAAAATAGACTTAGCCACATATTTTATACATTCATGGCACACCTTTAATTTTATTTCTAGGTTATGTGGGTCACCTGTGTTTTTCAAGCAGTCATACTCCTACACACCCGCACACAGTTCAAACCCCGGTGTCTGGGTTTCAATGTGCTTGCGTTGCGGAGACATCACAGGTCACTTCCTAACCCATCACCTCTGAGGGGAGCTGTGATCCAGGCATGAAGGAGCACACCTGTGTCCTGGCCATTTGGGGTGCTGAGATAGGAGGACTCCTGAGTTCCAGGCCTGCCTTCCATCATGGCGAGATCCTGTAAGAGGGGGCGGGAGGGGGGCAGGCTTGTACCTATGGGCAGTCGCTCCCGTTTGTTCTTAGGCCCTAGCACTAATAAGCTTCCATGTGGATTTGCCGATTCTGCACATCTCACATGTGGTAGTTTTAGCAACTGGTTCCATTCAGTTGGCCTAATAACGCTGTACCCTGCACAGACACTTATTCATTTTACTGCACTACAATATTCCTGTGTGGCTAGAGCAGCACTGACTCTAACAAACCCATCGCTAGGCCTTGGGTGGCCTCAGCCCCGGGGAGCTCACTTTCTCCAGGGGTCTGTCCCCTCCCTGCCGTGCACCTGACCATGCTGCTAGAGATGCAGGACACACAGGGGCCCGGAAACAGCTGCTATGGGGAGTGTTTTTGACTTACTCGGCCTGCTTCACCATGCTGACAGAAACTTAGGGGAGGAAGGACTTGAACACTTTGCTTCACAGTCTCAGAGGTTTGGAGCACAGTCACTTGGACAGAATATCACGTTGGCAGGGACGCAGTGTATGGCAGACAATGGGTGTTCTATACCTCTCAGTGGGCAAGAAGCCAAGCGAAAGGAAGAACCTTGGGATCAAGCATTCCCTCCACAGTAAGTGTATCACCAGCAGCCTACTTCCTCTAGCTAGGCCCACATCCTGAAGCTTCCAGAACTTCCCAAAACATGCTGCTATGGAGGGACTAAACACTGCACTGAAGCCTGTCGGGAACATTCCCCATTCAAACCATAACAGGTGGAGATGTTGAGGCGGAAGCAAACTTAAGGACAATAAAGGCCCCGAAGCTGAAGAGGAGAAACAACGTTCCAGAACAAGAGAAACAGCAAGGGGGCGAGGTGGCTGCAAGTTTACAGAGTGTGGAGCAGTGGAGAACAGAGCGGTAGGAGCCAGAACAGAGCCCACCACAAGGGTGAAACAGACCATGAAGCCAGAGGCCACTTCACTAATTTTTTTAAAGACATCCATTACCACAGGAAAAAAAAAAATACAAAAGCAATCAAAAATTATATTTTCTAAAAATAATTCATTCTCCCTTAGAGGCTTACATCCCTTTTTAGTAAAATCACTGTGAAGATAGAGATCGGTTTCAGCTTCAAATTTCTCAAAAGATTCCTTCCATGGCCACAGAAGCTGCAGTGAATTTGCTCTTGAAAGCTAATGGACAAAAACCAAAACAAAAAAAAAACTCCTAAGAAGCAAAAGTTCCTTCCTCCAGAGAGCTTTACCACCCGAACCAGCTTCTTAGTGGGTCAGTATCTTCCGAAAGAAAGCCCTGGGAAGGGTTGACAGCATTCCCGGGGAGCTGGGCTTAGTACCACCTCTGGCTTCACCCTTTCAATCTGTGGTTGGGACACATTCCGATGGACTGTGCTCACTCTTCAAGGAGCACTGGGAAGGCCGCTGCTCAGTAGTGACTAAGGCACACCTTGTCCATGGCCATCTTTACTCTGCAAGAGACAGGGAGATGGATTTTAGTGAGTTAGGCTAACCCTGAAGAAAGCAAGACCTAATCCAATCCTGGGCAGGAGTCATTTAGGGCAAAGTTCCGGTCATCACCACTGGGAACCTGGCCCCTCTGATGCCACTGACAAATGGCCCCAGAAGAAAACTGGGCCATGGAACTGTTGTCTACTTAGGCCAAGTCTTCCCACGCCAGTGGTGCGCCCCCAGATCCGTTCAGAATGATACCCATCTTCCTAGTACCAAGTGCTGTTTACCTGTCAATTGGATATGGCTTCTCACAGAGGTTGGCCAGCACATACAGATGCCTCAAGGCATACTCGTACTGTAAGAGAACAGAGGACCACACATAAGCATCTCACTGTGTGGTCGACCAGTCCACCTCACTTCTGCATTCAGACACAAAGTCTGTTTAGGTTATGGACCTTCCTTTTGTCAACCGATGGGAAATTACAGACTCTCCCAGGAGAGATGCGCATATGGAAGGCCCCCCGCACCACCTCAGGGGGCTGGTGAGTCTGAGGGTAGGACTCATTGGCCATGGCTGGATGGCAGGGAGAGAGGATGGCATACTAACACCAAACTGGATGACAAAGCAGGCTCTGCCAAGGCTTGGTCTACAGGCCGCAGCTTGCCCACCTTTCTCCAGCAGGACCCAAGCGTCCCACTGTAACCACAGGACTTTTCAGGGGACAATGAGCTGACTGACACACTACAATCGGCAGAAGCATCGCTCTCGCCTCTCTATGGACCAGAGTATGCTTGGGGAAATGAACATCAGGAGGAAGAAGCCGATGTTGTGGCAGATGTGAGGGTCAGGTGAGGGGTGGGGCCACATCATCAAGAGAAGCGGGCGCCCTCCCAAGCCAACAGTAACGGGAGTTGTCACCTATGACTCGGGTAGAGTCTCAGGGACTAAGACATGTAACGTCAAACTTGGGCGTCCGTCTATGTTCCTAAGGCCCGGACAGATCTCAGCTGCAAAGAAGCCTGAGGGCGCCGGCTGGGCTCACCGTGGGGGAGTGCCAGTTAAAGCAGTGTGTGCGGAAGTGGGTCACAGCCTCCTGGTAGCAGTCGTGCGCTGTGAGCACGGCTCTCTCTGACAGAAGCCTCTCGGCATTTTCCCCAAACCCTGCCAGCAGGGAGACGATCTTGTGCACAGACTTCTCAATGACGTGCCTGGCCTAGAAAGAAAGGAGCGTTTCAAAACAGTTCTGGCTTAATGTACTCTCTCTGGGGCCTCCAGTAAGAAACACAAGCAGAGAACTCCCTTGACACAGCCTTCGGCCCACGGTGGACTAAAACGGGCCAAGAAATGTATTCGTGAGAGATGGAAGGTGTGCACTTGGTTTCTGTGACACTGGAAGGATCTGGCCGCCTTGACCTCCTCCTACCATGGAAGAATCGGATACCTGGCACCCGGAGGGAGCAGCTGTGCTCCAGGGGGCACCTCTGCCTGCTCAGGAAACCACGGCTGGTTGAATAAAAAGCAGAGGCTCCATGTTCCTTCCAGAGGATAAAACAGCAATGTAAAGAAAGACAGTGCTGATCCTGACCCTGATCTCTTCATCTCAGCCTCTGACCTACACAGGGCTGGTCTCCTTCATGCCTGAATTCCTCACACGCACCACCCACGGTGGACCAGAATACAGGGTCCCTAGAGCTCGGTGGGCCCTGTAATGGCTTCCCTGTGCTTCAGCCAAAACCCCAGAGCCACAGAGTAAACAT